TTTCTTTCACAAGTATTTTTCGGTAAACAAGTTCAGCAGCACAGGGTTTTCCAACCACAAAATATTGACTCATTTGCCAGCCATGAAACAATCCTTGCTAAACCATTTACATCATTAATTAATTCCATAGACATAAATATTGCATAAGCATAGAAAATGCCTTGGAAAGGCAAACACCATAATATTAAAACTGGTTACATCTTGGGAATGGAACTAAGAGGAGGAACGTAAGATTCTAATTGTCTTACACTTCTATGCCATGTGAAAAATTTTACAAAAAAACTTTATTCCAATATAAGAATTATAGCAATTGCTAAATCAGTTTAACTTCAGTAATGGCAAAATCAGCCCTGTTGCAGAGTGCTAATTTGCAAATTACTATTGGAAGCTGACCAATTACATGAAAGACCTAAAACCAAGCAGACATTGGGGGAAAGTCCACACTGCCTGGAAATGCCAATTCTGAAAGCAATCCTGCAATCTTCTTCTTCTTCTTCTTCTTTTTTTTTTTTTGGAGACAGGGTCTTGCTATGTTGCCAGGCTGGACTCAACTCCTGGGCTCAAGTGATCCTCCCACCTCAGCCTCTCAGCATCTGAGACTATAGGCCTGCCACCAAAACTCCTGAATTATTCTAAAGGTGCTAGCTGGCAAAGCAAACATAGTTGAATTTCCACATTTTAAGCTGACTAAAAAAAAAGAACACAAATCACTTCCATGATTATTTCTCATAAACAGTTATAACAAGTGAGGCATTTATCTACTAACAATACTACAGTTACTAATACTTTATATTTTAATTGCAACATTATAATGTTGAGTACATTATTTTAATATTTTTGTGTTAATATTTAGATTAGTTTTTATTTCCTCATAGTTAGCATTTCCATATACAGCCATATATTTTCCAGTGGAATAAATTTTAGATTTGTAATTCAGGTTGAAGAGAAGAGTACCTGAAAATGGAATTTACAAATTATTGATAAATACTATTTTACTACAAATTTAAAATTTGAACAGCATCTCTTCAACTGTTACTTCCTTATAACATTGACAAGAAAAAAAACTGATTCCCACTGGGGCCACTGTCTGTGTGAAGTCTGCACATTCTCTCCATGTCTGTGTAAGTCTTCTCCAGGTACTCCAGTTTCCTCCCAGATCCCAAAGATGTGCACATTAGATGAACTGGCATTATCTACATTGTCCCAGCCTGAGTGTGGGTGTGTTTGGGTACATCCTGTGATGGAATAGTGTCCTGTGGAAGACTGGTTCCCACTGGGTGCCCAACTTGCCAGGATAGGCTCCGGCCACCAATAAGCCTGAACTGTAATAATTGGGCAAAGAATGAGCTTACTCGTTTTTATTCATCTTTCCTTAAATGTATGTATAACTCACATTTACTTCAATATTTAATACTAGAAGACCAGAAGGTCTTTAGTTAGCAGTTTAGTGATTTTTTGTGAAAATAATTATGCAGTAGAAACTTAACTCTTCTTCACATCAAGTAGCCTATGATAAAACTGGTTTCATTTAGCATCATTTCACTCAGTCAGAGTTTCCAAGAACCTGTCAATGACATTAAGTGAGAATTTACTGTGTATGTTACATAATGTGAGGACTTACTGTGTATGTTACAAACACTGAAGTAACCAAAGCACACAGTACCCTGTTGAATGGCCTCATCATCCAGAATCAAAAAATAAGTGAATGAAAAAGCAAAGGAAAATTTTGTTTTTAAGTTATATAAATATATTGTCAGAATACATGTTGAATACTGAAAGCAAAAACCATAAAAGGAAAAAAGGAAGATGTACCAGGCATGGTGGCTCATGCCTGTAATCCCAAAATTTTGGGAGGCCAAAGCGGGCAGATCTCTTGAGGCCAGGAGTCCAAGACCAGCCTGCCCAACATGGTGAAACCCCATCTCTACTAAAAATACAAAATTTAGCCGGGTGTGCTGGTGCCCGCCTGTAATTCTACTACTTGGGAGGCTGAGGCAGGAGAATCGCTTGGACCCAGGAGGCGGAGGCTGTAGTAAGCCAAGATCTCACCACCGCACTCCAGCCTGGGTGACAGAGCAAGATTCCATCTCAAAAAAAAAAGAAAAAGAAAAAGGAAGATGTAAGTACATAAAGAATTAAAATGTCTAAATAAAAACCACTATAATCAAAATTTTAAACTAAACAATAAACTTAGAAAACATTTTCAGGCTGGGCACAGTGGCTCATGCCTGTAACTCCAGCACTTTGGGAGGCTGAGGCAGGTGGATCACCTGAGGTCAGGAGTTCGAGAACAGCCTGGCCAACACGGTGAAACCCTGTCTGTACTAAAAATAGAAAAATTAGCCAGGCGTGGTGGCACACACATTTAATCCCAGCTATTCAGGAGGCTGAAGCATGAGAATCGCTTGAACCTTGGAGGCAGGGGTTGCAGTGAGCTAAAATCGCACCACTGCACTCCAGCCTAGGCAACAGAGTGAGACTCTAAAATATATATATTTATGGTTCATGCCTGTAATCCCAGCACTTTGGGAGGCCGAGGCGGGTGGATCACCTGGGGTCAGGAATTTGAGACCAGCCTGGCCAACATGGTGAAACCTGTCTCTACTAAAAACACAAAAACTATCTGGGCATGGTGGCGGGCGCCTGTAATCTCATCTACTCGGGAGGCTGAAGCATGAGAATTGCTTGCACCCAGGAGGTGGAGGTTGCAGTGAGCTGAGATCGCACCACTGTACTCCAGCCCGGGTGACCAAAAAAAAAAAAAAAAATTGGGTTATCACTACAGAATAAGTTGCATTACTGCAGAATATCAGATTATCTTACCCATGCTTTTGTCAAACACTAGAAAGGTAATTCAGTAACAGAGTACTAGAGTTTCAAGACTGTTCTACTGATGGGCCAAGTAGCCCAGTCGTGTTCTTCATGTGCTTCATTTGACAAGGCACAGAGACTTACACAACAAACCCAAGGCACCATTAATAAATCTGATGACTTAAATGCTCCTTGTAACTTAAAATGAAGAGGAATTTTTTTTTCTGAATGTTTTGGGGTTTTTGTTTTGTTCTGTTTTTAGAGACAAGAACTCACTCTGCCACCCAGCAGGCTGAAGGTTAGTGGCACAATCAGCTCACAGCAACCTTGAACTCCTGGGCTCAAGCAATCCTTTTGCCTCAGCCTGCCGAGCAGCTGGGGCTACAGGTGTGTGCCACAACACCCAGCTAATTTTTTCTTTCTTTCTTTCTTTTTGTAGAGACAGGGTCTCATTATGTTGCTCAGGCTGGTCTTAAACTCCTGACGTCAAGCAATCCTCTCGCCTCAGCCTCCTAAAGCACTGGGATTACAACCATGTGCCACCACGCCCGGCCCTGCTTTTGGCTTTGGGAGTGGATTTCAGTTTCACAGTTTTCACAGTGTAGAAATAATACGGATTTTCTTTTCTTTTCTTTTTTTTTTTTTTGAGATGGAGTCGTGCTCTGTCACCTAGGCTGGAGCGCAGTGGCGCGACCTCGACAC